TTATTTATACAACTATCATTATTTTTGTTAACACTGAGATATAGCAGAATAGCGCTACGCTGATAAAGACGATTATTATTATTATTATTATTATATATTCGAAAACGGTACCGAAACAAATTCTTTGGTGATTGCAAACAAACTAAATGAATATTTTGTGGAAAGTATTGTTGATATTGTAGGTACTGCCAATGCTGCACCTGACTATATGAAAATCAGTTTCCAGGGGGAAATGTTGCATACACTTTCAAAATTTCACAGCGTATCATTGAATTATCTAAGAAAAAAAGTAAACAGTTTAAAATCAAATAACAACTGTGCCGAAATGACTACTAAAAACGTGCTGAAAAACTGTTTCGAAATTTTGGGATATCCTGTATTAAATTGGATCAATTGTTCACTGAGAAGCAGTTCTTTCCCTGAAAATTTGAAATGCTCTACAATAACACCAGTTCCCAACATAAAAAATTCTAAAAGATGCAGCGATATGAGACCAGTAAATGTGTTACCAGACATTGAAAAATTATTAGAGTCCATAGTGCATGACCAATTAATGCAGTTTATAGAAGAAAACAAAATTTTAGTGGAGGCGCAAGCAGGCTTTCGAAAAAAATATTCCACAGAAACAGCTTTCCAGTTGGTAACTGAGAATTGGAGAAGAGCCATAGACTCAGAAGTTGTCATAGCAGTATTTTTGGATTTGAAGAGGCCATTTGAAACGATTGATAGAGATATTTTGTTAGGTAAATTGAAGGCATATGGTATAACAGGAAGTGTTTTAGATTGGTTTAGAAATTATTTGTCTAAAAGGATGCAAGTTACAAAAGTTAATGACACTATTTCATCAAAAATTGAAAATACGTTGGGTGTTTCACAGGGCAGTATCCTGGGACCACTTCTTTTTATTTTATACATAAATGATTTACCTGCCATAGTCAAAAAATGCAAAATTCAAATTTTCGCCGATGACACTATGATTTATATAAGTACTAAAAATATTCAGTCAGGTATCTCTTAATAATAATGTTTATTTCCAACAGGCAGATACACCCAATTACAGGAAATATCAATAAATATCAATTAAGCACAGTAAACAGATACATAGATAAGAATTATAGTATATCGGTAAGTAATAATCAACCATAATATTCTACCTTAGAAGTTCTTCAAGGTAAAGTTCAATAACGCGAGATTTAGTGACATTAAATATGTCGCAGTTACTGATACTATTGAATATTGTACACATCCTATGCACAGGAGACTTGGACAAGACATTGGTATGGCAGAAATCATAGTAAAATGTGGGACAATAACGGTTACCTAAGCGAGGAACATTAAAACGTATCTTACTTAGAATATATGGACAGTAAACCTTATTGTGGAGTAAATTGAACAAAAAAGACAGCAGAAATATTTCGGCGCACTTCAAGCGGTTTGATATCAAAAGTTTTGAGCAATACATTATGGTCGAAGCCTCTTTGTGGATAGAAACCATTGCATTTGAAGAACATAAACTTTACTGCTCTTCGTTGAATAGATTCCAATCTGCTAATAGAGTTTTGATAAATTGGTGCCCATATAAGCGATGCATATTCAAGCTTGCTTCTGACGTATGCTAGATATAGGAGCTTGAGTGTTTCAACGTTTGAGAAACCTGACCAGTTTCTAACACAGTACCCTAGCATTCGGAAAGCAGACGATGTAATGCTATTTATATGATCATTAAAAGTGAACTTGACATCAAATGTAACACCTAGGTCCTTATAACTGTTACTCCTTTCTAACCTTACCTGATTAATACTGTAGTCATCATAAAGCATAACATTCCGTTTTCTGCAACATGTTACTACTTTACACTTTGACACATTTAGTGCGAGGAGGTTTTTGGAACACCATGAATTGATAACTTCCAAGTTATTTTGAAGAAAATGACAGTCTTCGGAAGTTACGATATTATTATAAATTTTTAAATCATCAGCAAAAAGTAAATGAGGACATTTAATCTCAACCGACAAATCATTAATAAATATTAAAAATAATAAAGGTCCCAAGTTAGACCCCTGGGGAACTCCTGAAGTAGCTATGTAGTTATTAGACTTATAACCACCATATTCTACAAATAGTGTTCTGTCTGAAAGATATGACTGGAGGAGCGAGAGTAGATTTTCAGAGAATCCTAATCTCTTATATAAATGAAGACTTGAAGCTTGTCTCAAAATGGTTAGCATCTAACAGACTAAAATTAAATGCAAGTAAAACGAAAGCCTTGTTAATCGGAAAAAAACAATGTACAAATGTTCAACTGAATATTGATGGTAAAGATATTGAATTCGTAGAAAATTTTAAATACCTGGGAGTTTTTGTTGACTCTCGATTAATTTTTGATATTCATTATGAAAAAGTTATAAATAAGATTAGTAGTAAACTGGGATATTTATCGAGAGTTTCTGGATGTCTGAGTTCATATAGCAGAAAAATTATCTAAAATACCATCATTCTTCCAAATTTCTTGTACTGTTCGACTATTCTATATTTAGCAAATAATTCCATTTATGAAAGACTGCAAATTTTACAAAATAAGTGCATGAGAATAATACTAAATAAAGATAAATATACTCCAATTAGGCAAATGCTTAGCAAATTAAAATGGCTCAATGTAAAAATTTTTATCAAATATCTTGTAATGATATTCATTTATAAAGTAAAAAATAATATATTTCCATCAATTCTAACTAATTTAACATCATCAAATGTCGACCATCATTTACATAATACCAGAAATAAAGATGACTTCCATTTAATGACCAAAAAGTATAACATATGCTACAAATCTGTATTCCATCATGGGTTGATTGAATATAATAAATTATACTCGGTGATAAAAGACCAGAAAACTTTGACAAAATTTAAAGTAAAATTGAGAAATCACTTGTTAAATCTACAATTATTGGTTACCCAGCATTTACATCATACACCATATGGCTTGAATTTACTAGTTCTAAGTTGTTTACAATTGTTCTGTTTATGTAGCCAAATGTGCTAAATAAATCTTTCTACTACTACTACTACTATTATTATAATCAGCCGCTATTTGCTGTCAAGTTTAATTAATGGATATTGGAGAAAAATACTCTAAGTTATGGTATCCAGAGGATAATCGTCAGTTGTACACGAAAGTCGCACGACTTTATCTTTCTTTCCAATACAGACTTACCTGATTCCATAACAGGAACATCAAAATAAACCCTTTTGAATGAAAAAAAAAACAAAACCACGGTCTAATCTAACACGAACGGACTACATGACGGACGTTCACTGGCGCTTAGCTAAGAGGCCAATTTAACGCATCAGTCTTGTTATCAAGACACCTACATACAAATTTATAACACATTATATCTGAATATCGTTTTATATCTCACTTAAGTCATTCATGCGTAACGGGAGAATTTAACGTGTTGAACTGAAGAAGGTTTGAATATCTTTTTTTGCGAAAAAATCGCGTCATGCTGCCCGGTACAAAACATTTTTTGGCATTATGAAATGTAGAATGTCAAAACATGACTAACTACGGACACTAAAAGCGCGACGTCAAAAACTCCGGGCAAATACGAGGTCTGTAAATTAAGTGATGAAACTAGAAACGTTGCGATCGATCTGGCAACACTGGAGGCGCTGGGCTCCGACAGGAGCGTTCAGTACAAGTTTGAACTCACTCGAGTCATTTGGTTGTCCGGAGCGATTTTTTGAGGGTGACTTTGAAGTTGAGTCATTAATTTTCAGATAATGATTGTAGAAGGAAGATAAACCAAAATATGTGTGTAAAAATAAAAAAAAAATAAAAAAAATGTTACCTTGTTTTATAAAGTATCCTCCCGACAAGTATTTCAGTGCGGACCTGTATTTGATCGTGCGGTCTTGGAGCACCGGTCTTAAGTCACCTGATTCACGAGCCCTTTGTACTAACAAAGGCACGAGGGGTTGGTTGCACTCGATTGGGAAACCGATCCGCATAAATCCGTGATTCCGCGTAAATAAGAATCATGTCCACAAGTTCAGCATTTTCGTAAACATGTGCCATTTTTGATTTCGTTTGAGCCACGCAACAGACACCACTATTCACTCACGCGTTACCGACTGACACTGACTGTATACAACTGAATAAAATAATTGTAAAAACATCGTTCCAAATTCTTTCGCTTTTTTGTTTCCGATGCGATGAACCGGTGAGACGGATTATATCCGTTGTTGCCAAACACGAGCACATAATATTATTATTGAGACACGGCGGTACTCAAACTTCCAAAGGGCTATAACTTTGTTACTTTAATTTTACCAGAAAAATGGTAAAGGAAAAAACATTTCTTTTGATCAGATCTACTCACTGTTAAAATAAATGACTCAACTTCGAAGTCACCCTGTAAAGTTGTAATTATACTTCAATAAAAAAAAATAAAAAAAATCAGTTTAATCACCCAATTTACAGACCTGGTATTTTTAGATCTTATATGACGATTTTAGTATTCGTATAAGGAGTCACCTGGGCATTTTAGTCTACAGAAATATACGTATACTATACAACTGTTTATAAAAATTATGAACTTGAGACTAGAAATAAAAATAAACAGATAATTATTGCAGCAACATCAAACATGAAGTAATATTCAGATCATTTATATATTTGGGTCCCAGATTATATCATAATATATCTTTAAATATAAGAAAGATGGATATTAAAAAAAGAACTCCAAGAATTGCTATTAAGTACGGACACTAACTTGCTATAATTTACGAAATTTCTGATGACTAAATTTTAACCAACCTACTACCTTTTCCGCATTACTGATATACAGTGCAAAATTATTTTATTATTAGATATCGACTTACTCTATTCTTTGTTAGTCTCTTAGACCATGTATTATTATCATATTATGCATTATATATTCCTTTTTGTAGATTTTTGCGATTTATTCGCAGATTAAAGTTAGTATAAATAAATATCATTATACTATTATTTCGTAACTCACCTGACTGAGTCCGACCCTGTAGCTCGACGGCTCCAAATCCAGCGCGAGCAGCATATCTTCGACTGCTTTCCTCTCGTCCAGAACAGGACTGGTAACTTTGTAATCACCTGCCAGCAAATGGAATCTTCTCCTGAACTCACCAAGCGGCATGAAGTTAGGGAATCCTTGCTTGTACAGTCTGACTGCGTCCAGGATTTGAGCTCCCCTTATCTGCAAAAAAAAATTAGGAAATTATACATACGTTGTAGTAGAAGTCCAAACCGTTGTCAAAACTTGGAACGACGAGAATGACAACCATTGATATACAGTGAAACTCATCTACTTGGGAGAGGTCGTGGAGTGCGGGTGTAACTCCACTTCATATGGCCGACTCTTTCTTACAAACGTGTTACACAATAATAATAATAATAATAATAATAATATTTATTCACTCAATGTACAAAGATAACAAACAATATGAGTAAATAAATATAAAATCAAAACAGGCCCAATAGAAGGCATCGCCTGTACATGGACCAATAATTTAAGTTGAAACTGTAGAATGCAAATGACAAAAAAGGACAAAAATTAGCTACAGTAGATTATGTATTTAGTTGATGTTCGTATTTATGAGTTTATGAATTTCAGTCCTAGATATAGAATGTAGCCACTGTTTTAAATTTCTTTTGAAACAATTTCCGAAACGTAAATCTTTTAAGTCTTTAGGTATAATTTTATAAAATTTAGGCGCTAAATAGAGATATGATCGCTGCACTATAGATTTATGAGGTTGAGGAGCTACTGTGCCACGAATTTTGTACCTGGTATAACGATTATGTTTAATTTTTTGGTCGGTGTTTACAAATTTATGGTAGTGAGTGATACTGTGTAAGAAATAAAGCTGTCTTATATCATACATTCGAACATCTGCGTATAATTTTTCAGTGGGATAAAGTTTCGGTTTTTTAAATATCTTTTTTAGAATACTTTTTTGAAAAACATCTAAACTATAGATATGTGAGGAACATGCAGCTCCCCATGCTAATATACCATATGTGAGATCAGGCTCAATCAGTGCATGGTATAATGTTCGAAGATATTTTTCTGTCAATATATTCCCAAGGTATTTAATTTTGTAGGTTACAAATCTAACTTTCTTTAAAATATAATTGACATGGATGTCCCATCGTAAGTGAGGATCCAAGACCACTCCAAGGTATTTTATGTTGGGCACTCTATTAATTTGCATTTTTTGATCGTTAATATTGAAGGAGAAATTTGTGTAATTTGGCAGATGTCTAAGCATAAGATCCAAATGGTAAAAAATGTGTTTTAGAGTAGTTAATGCTTAATTTTCTACTGTTAAACCACCGAATAATTTTGATAAAATCATTTTCAATTACATTTTTCAGATCAGACCAGTTAGTGCCTTCATATAATATTGCAGTATCATCTGCAAAACTAGTTATTTTGCCAACACAATTAATTTGGAAAATATCATTTAAATATATATCGAATAACAGCGGACCTAAGACAGTTCCTTGTGGGACACCACACTTAATATACATTTGTTTACTAAATGATCCTGATATCTGCACAGATTGTGGGCAATTTGACAAATAACTTTCGATCAGTGAGTACGCGTTTCCTCTGAAACCAATTCTCTCCAATGCTTCTAATAATAATTTGTGATTAACTGTGTCGAAAGCTTTCTTTAAATCAACAAAAATGCAGATTGAAGGGATTCTGTTATCAATATTTTGATGTATTTGATTTACAATTTTAGTTATTGCGTCCGATGTAGTCTTCCCTTCTGTAAATCCATATTGATTTTCACTTAAAATTTTGAATTTTGTGAGGTATCGAATCATTCTAGTAGATAAAACTTTTTCAAAAACCTTTGCTACACTGGATATTATTGATATTGGTCTATAGTTGTTAACATCTGTTTTTGTTCCTGATTTATGTATCGGTATTATATTACCTTTTTTTAAAATTCAGGGATATATGCCAGATTCAAAGCATTTGTTGATTAGGTAAGTGAGTGGTTCTGTTATGTCCTCAGCTATAATCTTCAAATGCTCGCTTTTAATACCATCGAACCCAGGACTTTTCCGATTTTTTAAGGACATAACAGTGGTGTATACTTCACATTGCTCGACTTTATCCAAAATAAATGAGTTCAAAGTCTTTTTGGAGGCTGAGTATTTTGTACATTTGCTTGTATATTACTTGCTAAATTTTCGCCTATGTCAGTAAAGAATTGTACAAATTCATTGCATATCTGTTGAGTATTTTTTAATACTGTTCCCGATGTTGTATTTAACTCAGTGACACACTCTTTAAATTTTGTTTTCCCAGTAATCTCATCAATAGTTGTCCAAAGCCGCTTAGGATCATTTAAGTTATTATTCAATTTATTTAGGTAATGTTTTCGTTTGGTTTGCCTTACAAGCTCTATAAATTTATTTTTATATTGGTTGTAGCAGTCGGTATTCTCTGTAGTTGGCGTTAGTTTCATTACATTATATAGTCTTTCTTTTTCTATTGCCGATGTTATTAATCCTTTGGTAATCCAGGCATTTCTGCTTTTCTCTTTGTGACTAATTATTACTTTATTGGTACTAATATCTATTAGTTTTTTTATTTTCTCTATGAACAGTCCCGTTGCTTTGTCTATATTATTTATAGAGTATAATTGTTCCCAGGATTCTTGTTTGACATTTGATATTAGTTTTGAATTGTCGACAAAAAATTTGTAATTTTCCTGGTTGTTATTAACGGTAGGGATGTTAGAATGGTTTTCATTTGAAGATATCAGTAAAATAGTGGAGAAGTGGTCAGTAATATCGCTTTCTAGGATTATTGGTATACAAGTAATTTTGTTGGATAGGTCTTTCACAAAGCAGTGATCTATACATGTGCCACTGATGGACCTTGTAGGTAGGTTTATATAGGACAGAAATCCGTTACTTGATAGGATATTCAAGTATTCATTTGTGATGGGATCATCGTCCAAAATATTTATATTGACATCTCCCAAGAAAATATGTTGCTTTAAATGAACTTTATTTTGATTTTGAAAAAAAAAATTCGATATTCTTTAAAAACTCGTGGGGTTCTGAACATGGCGGACGATAAATTGCAGATACCTCAATTTTGTTATGGTTAATTTGGATCATTATGTTTAAAATTTTGATTCCATCGGTGAAAGTGAATGTATCATGATTATATTGCAGTTTATTTCTTACAAAAACTATCACCCCATCGTTTTGGTTATAAGTGCCAAAGTTATACAGCGTGTCATATCCCTGCTGATTGAAGCAAGAAATATCAACCACTTGCCACGTTTCAGTTAAAACTATTAGATGAAAATTGTACCATATTTGGTCGAGTAGTATTTTTAAGTAATCAATGTTGTGTTTTATACTCCTTATGTTCATATTAAAAATTCGAAATTTTGCATCAGAATTTTGTGTACATAAATTAAGTTCATCGACGTTTTGTGCTATATTTGTTGCAAAATTAATGAAACCCAAGACTAATAATGTAAATCAATTTCACTTCAGAATCTCTAAAGGATATAGCATAACGTTTCTAGTCACAAAACCCGAGATGTTTATCACACGATGCTTATACAAAGGGTACTAAAAAGGTTTTGCAATATGACTTAATAAACGGACGCAGGATGCTGCATGTTACTGCATGTTGAGACATGTCCATGAGTGCATAGAAACCGCCAGTAGCACGTCTGTTGTTCATTCGTATTGACAGTGTAAAGTGTCTATGGTATCGTGGTTACGTAGTCAGATAAGGGCAGTTTTACGGTATAACTTTACGCGTGGTTATAAGCATAGATCAGTGCGTAGAAGAAATGACGCTTGCAATAGAATGATTGACCTCACCGTACGACTATATTCAGGTGGTGCAGAGAATTCGAAAGGGGCAATTTCACTCTGGAGCACGCTGAGAGGGAAAACACTTCTATCGTCATTGCAGATGAACATTGTGTCTTGTGCGCTATAGGCGATTGGCTGTGAATATAAAAAACCTTAGTACGTTGTAAAGACAACGTACAGAATCAAATTAAGGGTTTTTAATTGAATTAATTGGAGACTCCGGCCAGATCAATACGATTCAAATGTGTCATGCTTGTCTCCACCACCCTGACGCCGGGTACACTAGAAAGGGGGGTCGAGTAGGTTTGACTCTGTATTTTCCACGCATTGCCCTCATCAGTTCTTCAAGTAACACCCTCCGAAAAAAAGTTAGTTACGAACAGAGAAAATGAATGGGTCAAGTTAGTCAAAGAGGCCCATACAATGTTGTAACCTTATGTCAAAATATTATCAAAATCCGAGCCGTACTTTCCAAGTTGTAGACGGACTAAGAATTATGGGACACACAGTCAGACATATAGATCGACGGAATTGAGTGACAAAGATTTTCGTGATGTCTATGTCACAACAACCAAAAGACACATATAATGATCGAAATTTTTCCTCGCCATTTTGGAAATGAATTTTGGCAAATAAACATGACAAAGGTAGTTTTTGTGACCTTACCTGCGATCTGAGGAGAGGCACGTTGATCAAATTGTCCTCATGTTGTCCTGAAGATGTTTTTGCGGCAATGAGGGGAGCATTCGCTTCGCACAGACCAGCGTTATGTTGAGGTAGAAGGCACTGGACGAACCTGAGCTTCGTTCTTCTGAGAGTTTCTATGAGACCATCTATCGTAAATTTGACCTAGAAAAAATATTCACTCGTAAAGGGTTGTCCAATAGGGACGCAGGAAAGAAAACGTCAATTTGACATAGACGCCATCTTTGTTTTCTGTCACCGACATGTCATTTTGTTAGTTGAATGTTTACCATTGATCGCTATGGAGTCGTATTCGATTGAAGACCGCATTAAAGTTATTCAAGAGCACTACAAAAATGGTGCAAAAATAAAAAACACGTTTCGCGCGCTTCGTGAACATTTCGGTCGAAACAACCGCTCAAACGAAGCAACCATAGGTCGTCTGGTGCGTAAATTCGAGGCAACAGGTTCTGTGGGAAATCTGCCAGGCTCTGGCCGGCCAAGGAGCGTTCGCACACCGGAAAATATTGCTCTTGTGAAGGAGAGTGTGAGAGACGATCCGAAACAATCAACAAGGATTTGAATGTACACGCCTACAAGATCCAATTGACGCAAGAGCTGCGTCGGGCCGACCATTTTTCGCGCCGAACGTTCTCAGATTGGCTCCTTGAACACCACCAAATTGATGCCAATTTTTCATCAAAAATCATGTTCAGCGACGAAGCGCATTTCACTTCGAATGGGACGGTAAACAAGCAAAACTGCCGCATCTGGGCCAACGAAAATCCCCGTGAGTATCAAGAGCAGCCGATGCATCCTCAAAAAGTGACTGTGTGGTGTGCATTGTGATCAAAAGGCATCATCGGACCTTATTTTTTCGAAAATTCGGCCGGGGACGCCGTTACCGTCAATTCTGAGCGATATCACGTGGTGATAGAGGACTATTTTTTGCCGCAACTTGAAGGAATGGATATGGACGATGTTTATTTCCAACAAGACGGTGCAAGATGCCACACAACCAACGTCAATATCCATCGATTGCAGTCCTTCTTCGGTGATCGCGTGATTTCGCGCAGAGGAAATGTGCCATGGCCACCAAGATCGTGCGATTTACTCCCTTGGACTTCTTTTTATGGGGATATTTGAAAAGCAAAGTCTACGTCAACAAACCAGCCACCCTCCAAGAACTCAAAAACAACATCATTGCCGAGATAAATGCCATAGAACCGACCAAGTTGCAAAATGTCATTGAAAATTTCGACCATCGCGTGGACGTCTGTAAATCCAGTCGTGGTGAACATTTGAGCGATATTATTTTTCATACATAAATGGTATAAATGAACCTTCAAGTACCCAACTTGATTTGAATATCAATCTTTCTTGTTTTAATATGCGTTTACTTTCCTGCGTCCGTTTTGGACAACCCCATATAATAAATATTAGGAGACAAAACATTGGAAAACTTCTTTCGAGCAACTAATATCTCGATATTTTGACAGTTTCACCGAAACACGGTAAATTAAAATTATGGCTTGGCCCGATGAGCTCAATATGAGGTGGTTAGGAACAAAAACATTTACGAATTTAGCTCTACCCGTTTTTTCTTGAATCGATAAATCGATCAATTTCAATAACTTGTAATTTGGCAACACTCAGTCTTCAAATCTATCTAATCAGGATTTTGTATCTTCTTAGGTAATGTGTTTTATCGGTAATATTTTCTGGACAGCAAGTTTCAAAATGTGACATTTTACAAAGCCATTGACCCAAATGATGGAATTTACATGTTGTTGGATCCAAAGGTGTTACTTAATGACTATTTTATTTCATGATGTCTAAATTCGAAAACCTACAAGATAACTTTTAAACACATGTAATTTAGTAATTTATTTATATATATATATATATATATATATATATAGGTGAAAAATTAAAGCTTCCGCCTTTTGTTGGGTACTTCGACAAAATTTAAGCAAAGAGGACTCTTTATACTTTTTTAATTCTCTCTAGCTTTCAATGGACTTTACCATCATCATCAGGAGCTGAAATTACAATGCTAACAGTAGCGACAAAAGTGTAAAATGAATTTAAATTGACTCAACTTACAGTAGTATGTGAGGATGTTGCTAATTGTTGTTTTCGTATAGGATGAGGAAAACGTCCAGTAACATGGTGAGAGCTGGATACATGGTACAATGGTTAAAATTATATAAAATATGACAAGTTAAAGACAGATTAAAAAATAATTTAGAAAACATTAGAGCATTACGTCGTGAAGCCACTTGATGATTGCACAAAATGGTGGTCATGGAATAATGAGTGTGATGAACCTTTGACAGAAGGCAGAAGGTTGTCAATGTCTGTGTTAAAAGATGGAACGAATTGTGGGCGTGTGCCAAAACGTTGCCAAATCACTTCTTTTAACACAGACATTGACAACCTTCGGCCTTCTGTCAAAGGTTCATCTCACTCATTATTCCATGACCACCATTTTGTGCAATCATCAAGTGCCTTCACGACGTAATGCTCTAATGTTTTCTAAATAATTTTTAATCTGTCTTTAACTTGTCTTGTCATATTTTATATAATTTTAACCATTGTACCATGTATCCAGCTCTCACCATGTTACTGGACGTTTCCCTCATCCTATACGAAAACAACAATTAGCAACATCCTCACATACTACTGTAAGTTGATTCAATTTAAATTCATTTTACACTTTTGTTGCTACTGTTATCATTATAATTGCAGCTCCTGATGATGATGGCAAAGTCCATTGAAAGCTAGAGAGAATTAAAAAAAGTATAAAGAGTCCTCTTCGCTTAAATTTTGTCGAAGTACCCAACAAAAGGCGGAAGCTTTAATTTTTCACCTAACTGGTCTAGACGACAATGACCACGTCTCAAGTTATATATATATATATATATATATATATTGACATGGGCCATTTTATATAATGAGCCCTTAGACTTCCATATTTGGATATCTGTGGGTGACTTTAGCCTTACTTACCTGTAAGCATATGCTCTTCCTTTTCATAGCTGCAGTGCCTGCCGTGAATGTTCTTCTGATACTGCTAGCTCTCCTCAAAGATTGAGAACCTTCTATTCCAACTAAAGAACCACTAAAGCTTGAGGCTCCTAAACCACGTACTGATACAAACAGGTTGCTTATTTCCTCTCTGAAAAAAAAAATAATGAAATTACAGTACCTCATCAGCCGTTGTGAGAAAGCATATTATTACTCTAATATAACAAGTTGCAGGCACTTGTTGCGCAAAATATGTCTGCAGATTGTTTAAATGGAAACACATGTGTAGCAACATATTCCAGACCATGCAGATTTCTGGTAAATGTGACTCAGATGTGTTTCTCTGATTCCCATTGTCTATAAGGTTTTTTTTGTTTCGATTGATGTGATCTTCGATTATTCATCTGATGACGATTGAAACGTCGCAAGCATAAAGGGAACTGTTTGATGATCTTGCTCCTTTGAGTTCGGGTTTTGGTAGTTTTTTGAGGTTGAGAGTAGTGAGGACAAATAAAAAATGGTGTCTAGTAGATTGACTAGAACAAACTTCTGGTACAATTTTCCATGTAGTGCAATGACATCGAAAAGGCGAAGGTTTTTTCAGAACTAGTAATGCACTATTTGAGCTTTTCATGAAAAAAAGTTTCCTCAGATTGCAGCAATGAGCTTGTCCATACAGAGGAGTCTAATTTCTTTGGGGCTCTGCTGTGAAACTGCTAGTCACCAATGTTTGATGACTGATTGTATAATAGTTCTTGATAAATACTTATATTAGGTCACGGAATCAAATATCATTGATTAAGACTCCAAGCATAACGCTCATATACCGGGTGTTTCAAATTCGACCTTCACCATTGGCGTCTCAGAAACTGTAAGAGATACGAGGGCAAAGTTGCGTATTTAGGTAATTAACACAATGATGCTTAGACAGTTTCGGAATTCAAAATACTTCCGGATGAGCAATTTATTATAAAATCCCATTACAAATTAAGATTTTTTCTGCCTTTTTCCGGAAGTACTTCGAATTGAGACTCTTTCTAAGAGCATTTTGTTAGTGACCTAAATACGCATCTTTACCCCCATTCGTATCGTGGAGGCGAATTTGAAACACCCTGTATATAGATAATATCGCGCCCACCTCGTATATCACCGCGCTGCTTGCCAGCTCGGATCGATAAATAATCCGGTGACGCACCGCATATGCGACGGATAGGCGATCCATCTGCTGAAGTTTAGGGGCAAATGTACGGCGAAATCTATGATGAAATATGTCTGATAGGTGCGAAGAATTACCGAAGTTTGGACATCAAAATAATGCGATACACCCTCTGCCACCCTTCTACAAGCCCTATCCACCCAACTTTTTACCCCTAAAAAATTTTTCAAAAATGTTCAGCATACTCTGAAACTTAAAAGAAACACACAAAGTTTGGGCGTTTTTTTTTTTTCATTTTTGGCATTTTTCTCCGCAGCCACTGGACCGAGCTGAGCTGCTGTTTGTGAACAAGTTATGATTGAAGAAAAATGCATGAAAATGCACAAAAAAGCATTTTTTGACAAAAAAAATACACGCTATGAAACAATCAGACGAAAAGTATTAAGAATACTGCTCTAGACAGACAGACATGCGACGTTAAGGATGGTTCAAATAGTTCATTAGACAAAAGTATTTGAAGGTATAACTACTATTATATTAATTGCTCATTATCTCAATGTTGGTTTCAAATGTGTATCAACCATTTTGAAAGCAAGACTTTTAACTATGACACCCAACACCCAAGTGGCGACTATCCAAATAATCTGCCTTTACTTCGAACTTACTTTGAGCTCTCTTGAAGGATAGCAATAGCCGTTCTACTAACAGGGTTCTCTCTGCTATACTTCAACCAGCCTTTGGCACAGTAGAGTACCGGATTGGTCCCTTGCAGGTGTTGAATTATGAACTGGTTGTTGCCTGGTGCTTTCCTGATGAGCAATTGGTGGTCCCTGTCGCCGTAATGCGTAAACAGTCTTTCGATGAAGGACTCGTCTGACGAGCCGGGGTAGATTGCCTCCTCGTCTAGGAGCCATAGAAGGCCTCTTCTGTCGGCTGGAATGAAGAGATTCGGAGAATTATTGGTCATGCTAACATAGCTGAAAAATCGCAAAATTGGTCACAGGATAGCCATAACGGGGAACAATATGACATTTTAAATCGTTTACACAGTATTTCTGCCGAGGTAGTAGTAGTAGTAGTAGAAAGATTTATTTAGCACATTTGGCTACATAAACAGAACAATTGTAAACAACTTAGAACTAGTAAATTCAAGCCATATGGTGTATGATGTAAATGCTGGGCAACCTATAATTGTAGATTTAACAAGTGATTTCTCAATTTTACTTTAAATTTTGTCAAAGTTTTCTGGTCTTTTATCTCCGAGTATAATTTATTATATTCAATCAACCCTTGATGGAATAAAGATTTGTAGCATATGTTATACTTTTTGGTCATTAAATGGAAGTCATCTTTATTTCTGGTATTATGTAAATGATGGTCGACATTTGATGATGTTAAATTAGTTAGACTTGATGGAAATATATTATTTTTTACTTTATAAATGAATATCATTACAAGATATTTGATAAAATTTTTTACATTGAGCCATTTTAATTTGCTAAGCATTTGCCTAATTGGAGTATATTTATCTTTATTTAGTATTATTCTCATGCACTTATTTTGTAAAATTTGCAGTCTTTCAAAAATGGAATTATTTGCTAAATATAGAATAGTCGAACAGTACAAGAAATTTGGAAGAATGATGGTATTATAGATAATTTTTCTGCTATATGAACTCAGACATCCAGAAACTCTCGATAAATATCCCACTTTACTACTAATCTTATTTATAACTTTTTCATAATGAATATAATAATAATAATAATAATAATAATCGTCTTTATTGACCAAAAAACATGGTACATTACATGGGGCGAGATTTAGCACCTGCTATTCCACCATCTAACCCCGTACAAAAGTGAAAAAAAAAACAAGTTATACAAAAACAAACAAAAAAAAAAATGTGAAACTACAAACATTAAGTCACAGTATAATAGGACTATTTATGCCAATTTAGCTATAAAAAGAAGAAAGAAGAAGAGATAATAGGTTACATTATAATAGGACTATTTGTGCCAATTTAGCTATAAAAAGAAGAAGAGATAATAGGTTATGAAGAAACGGAAAAATAATGAAAAATACAAAAAGTATGAAAATGAAAGAACTTCTTAAGCTAGCGGTTGTTTTGCAATTCTTGTAAATATCTTTTTAACTGAGTTTTAAAACTCCGGGAGGACTGGATAGTCTTCAGATCCTGGCTTAAGCTATTGTAATAGAAAATTGCGTTGTATGTGAAAGTTCGTCTAAAAAGTGATGTGCGGTGTATTCGCATAGTTAAGGTGTCACGGTTACGAACCTGAAGATTATGCACAGACGCCCTTGGAACAAGTTTACAGCTGAGGTATTGAGGGGATGATGTTAGTATGATCCTGTGAGTAAAGCTGATAATGGAGTATTTGAAAAGGTTTTGAACGCTTAGCCATGCAAGATTACGATACAAGTGTGATACATGATCGAACTTTCTTAGGCCCTCGATAAACCGTACACAGGTATTCTGCATTATCTGCAAACGTTTTGCGTTAATAGACGTCAAACATGGGTAATATATGGATAAGCCATATAACATTTTAGAAATAACTAAACTTTGACACAATTTAATTTTGATGTTTCTATGCAGAATTTGTTTGTTTGCAAATAGAAGCCTGAGGGATAGATAACATTTTTTCAAGACATTATTCAGATGGGAGTTAAAACGTAAGTCCGAGTCAAAGTGAATGCCCAAATTTTTTACTATTTCAGAAAAAATAATTTTCTCCCCATTAACTTTGATGTGAATTAATGGTTTAAGGTTTTCACATAATCTTTTATTGCCAAATAATATAGCAGAACATTTTGAGGGATTTAGTCTCAAGTTGTGAGAGCTGCAGTACCTATTAACACTATCCAGATCCGCATTTACTAGCATCATGGACTCCTGGACATTGTCGGCATTAAAATCACACTTCATCTGCGTATCATCAGCAAAAAATTGAGCATGTGTATTCTTGAAGTTATCATGTAAGTCTGCAGTGTAAAGTAAAAACATCAATGGTCCCAGTACTGAGCCTTGTGGAACACCTGACTGAATGTACCTTGGTGTCGAAATTTGATTATTGATATTTACTTTTTGCCTACGTTCCCTTAAATATGACCTAATAAAGTTGCAGGCAACTTCATCGAAGCCATAGTAGTGGCACTTGGCAACAAGCAGTCGATGGTTAAGCGTATCGAAGGCCTTGGAAAAGTCTAACAGTACCAGCAAGCTCATGTTTTTACTGTCGATGGAAGATATGATGCTATCAATGAGATAAGACAAGGCTGTAGTTGTACTGCGGTTTTTCTGAAAGCCTGATTGATGGGTGGGGATTATATTATGTGCATTGAGATGATCGAGAATCTGTGTATAAGTTACTCGTTCTAAAATTTTAGACATTATTGGCAATATGCTTATTGGTCTGAGGTCAGCGATGGATATCGGATTAGACAATTTTGGCAGAGGAGTCACCAGAGCTGTCTTCCAAAGGTCGGGAAAGTATCCAGTTTCCAAGCAAATATTAATAATATGTAGCAGATGAATGCCAATTACTGGAAAGCATAACTTTAACATTTGTAACGTGATACCATCCATTCCAGAAGCATTGGATTTTATACTGCAGATAACAGTTTTAATCACATCTAAATCAACTAGCTTAAAAGAAAATGAATTTCTTTGCAAAAAGTTATTTGTTCTGTAGTAAAGTATTTTTTCAAAGCACGCTTCATCACTGTTTTGAAAAACTGAGGTAAAGTATTCATTGACTTTGTAAGGGTCTGTGAGTGTTGATGGGATTTCAGAAGATTTAATTGCTTGAACGCGCATATTTCTTAAAGATTTGTATAATAAAGAGGAATTTCTCTGATTTTGTAAATGATCCAAAAAGGCAGACTTTTCATTCCGTAACGACTGTAATGCATAATTTCTCAAAGATTTGTAATTATTCCAATTTTGAACAGACGGATTGCTTTTAAATTTAGACAGCGCTTTATCTCTTTCCTTGAAAATTAACTTCAAATTGGCGGTCAACCATGGTGCTTTCGGTCTAGTGACACGCACTGTCCGAATTGGGCAATGTAAATCAAAGATGGCATTGATGTTGTCAGTCAAAAATTTCAATTTGGTTTCAACGTCACTAAAGTATAAGACCTGCTCCCAGTTCATTTGATGTAAGTCTCGGTTGAAGTTATCTAAGTCGAAGTGTTTATAGTCTCTGAAAGTCACATACTTATGTACTTTATTTAAACAACAAAGTAGGTCACAGAAAACCATTTGATGGTCACTAATGATATCAGCGTTGATAGTACCCTTGTTACCGCAAACCTCAACATCAGACAGAAATATGGGATCCAAGAGAGTGCTACTTGTCTCAGTAATACGAGTGGGATCTTCGATAATTTGTGTAAAGCCATATGATTGAAAACATTCACTGATTTTATTTTTGATCAATAAGTTAACGTTTAGATCACCTAACATGAATAAATTGTCGTATGTAGTTACTAGGCCAGGTAGCAAATTATCGAGACATTCGATAGCATTCAAAACATTTGCACTCGGAGGTCTATACATTACACCCAGGCAGTAACTACAGTGACCAATTTTAAATTTAATGAACATATGCTCCAAGCAAGCATCTGTGTAAGAAGTAAGTACCTCGAACTTGATGTTGCTTCTAATATAAATACCGACACCACCACCACGGGATGGCCTATCATTTCTACAAAAGCTGAAGCCAGGGATATTAACAGTTTCAGAGCTAGTACATTCGGACAACCAAGTTTCCGATACAGCAACTATATCTAATTTTTTTTCAAAAACTAACTCTACAAAATCGGCAAAATTGGAAAGTAACGACCTTACATTTATGTGAGCTATTCTAATATATTTTTTATGTTCCATAATTGATTTTAGATTTAAGATTATTTATGTAATGTTGTAACACCAAGCAGGAACCTTCGTCATTCGACGAATGGCAAACATCATATTTAGTTTTATATTTTTCGTTACTTTTAACACAATTAATGCACTTAAGGACTTCGGACGAGCATTCTTTATACCGATGTTCACAGCTGCATGAAGAACACACAATGGACGACTTACAGTCTTTTTCAAGATGACCTATTGCACTGCACTTGAAACATCGCACCACTCTAACATGGTCAGCAACGAAGCATTTGCTGAATCCGACATATACATATTGACGTGACATAAAGAGACTTCTCACCTCAGGTGACACCTCAAGTACCAAATGTGTAGCGTTAGGGTAGTTTAATTTCGTTACAAATTTAATTTCACGATTTTGTAGATCTTGAAGGTCATTAATAGATGAAATATTGTCAATAATGTCAGCGACACTGGAGTTTTCAGGAATCTGAATATTTTTAACCATAATTCGGGGATTATACAGCTTAGTATTACTAACTTCATATTTCCTTCCTAATTTGTTAGAAAGATGTTCCTTTAGTTTTCCCAACGATTTGTCATCATCGCAGCAAATAACTACACCATTGCGAATTTTCTTGATACCACTTAAACACAGTTGAAGATCCTTGGGGTTAATATTATTTTTAATATCATTCAACACGTCAGTATTAGATATCGAGTTATTGTTCGATTTAACAATAATCCCAGCTGATGATAGTATGTGTTTATTTTGACTTTTTTTGGCTGTGCTACAAGAAACAGTACCTGTGTTTGCCTGGTTAAGAAATGGTCCCCTTGTTTTTGCAGCGTAGGATGATGATTCACTGCTTGTAAATGATAATTTTTCCTTGAGGAGCTCATTGTTGCATTTTAATTTATTATTATTATTTAATTAATCGAGAGTCAACAAAAACTCCCAGGTATTTAAAATTTTCTACGAATTCAATATCTTCTACATCAATATTCAGTTGAACATTTGTACATTGTTTTTTTTTTC